CCCAGGCAGCCACACAAAAACTAGAAATGGACATTCAGCCAGATACCATCTGTGGTCCTGCAGGGTCCTACCCTTCAGCGAGGTCATATGTTCACAGGTGCTGGCCTGGGAGGGCCACATATTCAGGCTTTGGTCACTCTTGTCTACATACCCCAGTTTGACTATTTCTAATGCTTCAAACCAACCTTGTCACTGCTCTTGCTAGTCCAAGCAGAGCTTTTCTACATTAGTAGCTTTTTGGCTTGATTGTTATAAATGGCTCTGGGGTGTGAACACAGGGCCTTTGTACATTCCCAACTTTTTTTTTTTTAAACAGGGTCTCACTGAGTTTGCCCAGGTTGGGCTTGTAAATTCTTCTGCCTCAGCCTCTGAAAGTGCTGAGAAACAAGCATAGTTCTGTGTGGAAAAGTAAATAAATGAAAGTAACAGTGATTGGTTTGATTTGGTTTGGTTTGGTTTGGTTTGGTTTGGTTTGGTTGCTGTTGAAACAGGGTCACATGAAGCAGCCCAGGCTGGTCTTGCATAGTGACTTTTTTAAAAACTGAACCATTTTATTTTCTGATGGCATCCGAGGCTCTGTGACCTGTCCTCATCCTGGAGCTAACTCGACCCCTGCTCATGCCCATTGCCCAGCATCCTGGCACCACTCGGCCCAACCCGTCCGGGGTGTGGTTTCTGGCTGAGAACGCTGGTTACGGCTCTTGGCTCTTCCCGTGGCCAAGACCCAGTCTCCCCAGGCTGACCACAGGGTCAGACCCTCTCGAGGCCCTGGCGTGAGGCCTGGCGTCTGCCTCCACCCACATCTGGGCTCCTGGCCGCACTGCAGTCTACGCAACGCGCGACAGCAGCAGCTTCCTTGTCCTGCAGCCCAGGCTCAGGACTGAGGGACAGGGCTACGAACGCTTCAGTGCAGGGTCACAGCCTGGATCCTCTGGTGCCTAGCAGCTCTCTGCGTTACGGAATAAGCGCCGACTCAGCCCTAGGCGTTTCCCGGAGTAGGGACCCTTCGTAAGCTACTCCCTCCCCGGTGCCTGGCTGAGGACGGACAGGTCCGGGTGCACTCTGGCTCAGCAGCTCCTACCCCAGACCCACTTGGTCCGACCTTGCTATGGCCCGGATTCTGCACCCGGACCTCCCCACCCCTACCGCTGTTTCCAGTGCGGCTGCGGCCGTACCGTCCCCCAGCACTGCGTGCGCGCAGCCTTGGAGGCGGGTGCCAGGACTCATTCTGGAGATCGTAACTAAGCAACCGCACAGAGGCCTTTCCCGCAGCGCACAGTGCGAAAAGCGGGGCGGAACCCACCTCTGACCACCGCACTGCGCTGCCCCTCGGCTTCCGGAGCAGGCCCATCAGGAACGCGCTCCGCCTCGTCTACAAAAAGCAGCCCCAGTCACGGCACCCACCTGAGTCTCAGGCCACCGCGCGAAACGCAACCCTAGAACACACGCCCGAATCTGCGTCTCAGCGCAGGCCGCGCGGCACTACCGCGCTCCTCGCAGACACCAGCACCCTCTGGTGGCGGAGCGGGGAGGTGCGGACTTGAAGAAGCTCGCCGCGGAGGACGGTCTGTGGCTGCCAAAGCATGGCAGGCAGAATGGGGTTAGCAGCTTCTTGATGCGTATAACTACTTTTTTGGCGGTGGTAATACCGATCGAGCCAGGGCCTTGGCACTGAGCCCCAGCCCAGCCCTCTTTAAAAAGTCTTTTGAGTCAGGGTCTCACTAAATTGCCCTGCTGGAGCTCGAATTTATGACCCTCCTGCCTCAGCTTCCTGGAGTGCTGGATTACAGGTGTGCCCCATCTCACCTGTCAAAAATCTCGTTTTATTGGCCTTCATTTTTACTGATCAGAGTTGTGTCAGTGTGGGTAATGAGCACCTAACTGTAAAAACGATACATAATCAACAGATTGAATTAACTTCTGTGTCTACCTGCTTGCCCTCAAAACTCTTCCATGTTTTGCCTCTACAAAACAATGCTTTATTCTTCAGCTAATTTCCAAAGCATTTACAGTCAGGATGTTTCTCTGTTAGCAGAAGTGAGGTTACTAGATTAACATGGAATTCATGGGCGAAGGCTGATTTGCCCTGGAGAGGATTCCATGTGCGCCATGCCGTTGCCGAAACAACAGGCACTTTCTTGGCCAGGAACAGAGAGCCTGCCACTATCACATGCACAAGTCACCAAGGCTCTCAGACAGCAGGCAGCGCCCAGTGTCTGCCGACTTACGTTTACCGAGGGTCTGCACTCTGGATTCTGCTGGCATGAGTGTCTCTGATGTAGACTCTCACATTTATGAAGGGTACCATATTTTTGGTACCATGTTTTCTGTCTACGCAGCCTGAGTGTCATTAAGAATTTACAGAGTGCTGTGCATTCTATACAAAGTATTTCATAGGCCACAGTTCATGTAATACTCGAGATATTCCAGTAAGGGATGGCTACGCGTGTGCAGGGCCGCTGTGGAGAACTGTGTGGTTTTAGGGTTTTTTGCGTATCCACCCATACTTAGTGCGCTTGTCCTCAGTGATTTTTGTTTCTCCCTCAGAATCCCTAGTTCTGGTATTTTCTCCTGTACGCATTGTCTGGCAGTGCTCATCTTAGGTTACTTCAAGACTGTGGTCCCTAGCTCCTATCTTAAACTTATGCAGAGTGTACAAAATCACTCTGGGTCGTCAGCACCCAAAATGAGACAGTCCTTGGAGTCACCTTTAAACTAAGAGGGGCGCACAGCTAGTGCACAGGGCAAACCCAGGCAGCCAGCTGCCCCCGGTGGCCTGCATCCTTAGAGATGAGCTGCTTTGTGTACATGAGGCTCATGGGTAAGACAGGGCCAGTTCCGTTTCCAGTGCGCCCTCTGGTTTTTTCCCCTGAAAAACAGTTGGGCATTGTCCTGGGTCTTGCTGTGTCTCTGGATGGAGCAGCTGGTCTCCTACCTCTGCTCCCCAGGGACCCCCATGTGGTATCGGGACACTGGCTGTTTATGTGAGGCTCATGTGCTGAGTAACACTGTGACTTGGAGGACCTGCCCTCGCTTCTCCTGGCCAGGGCCCCATGTCCTGTGGTTCCCTAAGGCCACCATGACTGGCGAGAAACAGATGTTCCTTGAGGTTGCACTGTGCATTTATAAAGAACTGGCGTGAGCGAGCCAGCTGGATCCTGCACTCCAGTTGGGGAGTGTTTGTGGGATCGAGCCCAGGGTTCAGTTCACTGGACTGCTCAGCACTGGGTTGGAGGAAAGAAAGAAGGAAACATCCTAATGAAGACCCGCTCACCAGACCAGAACCTTCTGAAGGTCAGGAGTGTGGTGTCTGCTGAGGGTGGAAACCTCGGCTGTCCTCTCTTGCTGACTTCGAGGGCATGACACGGCTCCACCTGGAAGTCACCGGAAGCAGGTGGACCCACTTCTGTGGGGAGCGCACGGGCCCGTGTACCCTGGCCCGGAGTCTGTAGGCAGGAGCCAGCCCGAGCTGCTCACAGGCCCTGTGGCCGGGTAAGGGGCCAGCACTGCACCAGAAGCGCTCTGCGCCAGGCAGACCAGGCTGGATTCCACACAGTGGCTGCGAGCACGCTGGAGTCCTTAAGGCACTTGTCTTTCCGCTTCAGAAGGGAAGGGGTTCTGTCAGTTGTAGAAGTTCTTGTGGTTTTAATGTTGTCAAAATATGTGGAAATTGTATATTTTATGATACTTGTTAATTCATTTAATTCTAAGTATTAGAATATATCTATCAGCTTCTAAACTATTTATATAAACTCTTCGATTGCCTTGGAAAATTTCATAAACTGTGTTTCACCTTTTTATTTAAATGTTTGAATTCTCCCTAGAATTATTTTTACTCTATAATTTCAGGTTCTTCTCCACACTGGATAGTAATACTAAGGGTGATTCTCCATTACAAAATATTGAATTTGTTGTGTATATGTTGTATGTTATTTAGAAAAGTATAGTAGAAAAATATAGTTATCTCCAAATAGTATTTACTTTTGTTCCAAGAAAGAACTTTGTAGTTAAATGTCATCACGGTTATGTATATTTTTTTTAATTTTTAAATATTTTGGGTTTTTTTTTTTTTTTTTTTTTTTTTTTTTTTTTTTGAGACAGGATCTCACTGCTGGCTTTATATTCACAGAGATTCTCCTGCCTTAGCCTCCTGAATGCTAGGGTTACCAGCATGTGCCACCATGCCTAGCTATGGTTATCTTTAAATGTTTTTATATTACTAACTTCTTCAATATTTTTAAAGTACATTACTTAAAATTGTAGCCATTTATGGTGTTTCCTCAGAGCTCTGGGGAAAGGCCAGGGATGGACTTTCTTTCAGAGTTGCACTAGCTGACACAGGAGCACGTTCCGAGCTCGGCACAGAGATGCTTAAAGGGAGCAGAGCGGCAGCCATAGTTCCCCTTACCTTCCGAGGGGAAGTGGGCTATCGCAGATTTGCACTCATGTCAGCAGACTGTCCTGGACACGAGGTCCTGAGAGACAGCCGCTGTGATCCAGGAGGACCCAAGGCTTCCCAAGTCGGGGCCAGGCCACTTGGGAGGGGATAGAGGAGTGGCCCTGCTGTGTCCCCGTCAGCATGGGCATTGGTGCACAGTCATGATACAGGGTCCTACTGAGGTGTGAACTGAGTCATGCACAATGAAGGGGAAGGAGAATGTTGTTTTACTTAGAACTTCTACATAGTAAGGCTTTTTTAAGCTAAGTGTGACAGTGCACACCTGTAAACCCAGCCCTCTAGGAGGCTGAGGCAGGAGGATTGCAAGTTCAAGTCCAGCCTGGGTGATTTATGACTCAGCAAGAACCTGTCTCAAATAAAAAATAAAAAAGGAATAAGGGTATATAGCACAGGACAAAGAGCCTGGGTTCAACAGCGTGCACCCCACCCCCAACCCCTACACATACACAAGGATTTTCTTTTAACCCAGAATCTAGAAAGGTGCTGTCCAGAAATCTGTTGTCATCTAGTACTGGCCCTGATTATGGTTGTTTTTTTGTAGACCCCAGAAGAAAATACCATGTGAGGCTTCTGGCTTACAGTAACATCGAAGATGGCTATCAAGCTGATCAGACTGTCAGCACCCCAGGATGTGTGTGTGAGTGCCCTCCCCCACCCCGCTGCAGTCCCCCCTCCCTCCTGTCCCTACCCTTCCCCCTCCCCATCCCTTCCCTTCTTGAAGTTCTGGTCTGTGACTATCCAGAGCCTGGGTAGTTTAATTATTCCCTGTCACTTAGCAGTGTCTTAGACAAGAGGTGCTCAGGAAGGAGGTGCACGAGGTTTTGGAGGTAGGAATACCTACTTCCATTTTGCAAGCGAAAGACCATGGGAATCTGAGCTGAGAAAGTCAGCTGCACCCTGAGTTTGTTGTCTGCTGGCCTGGAACTGTCCTTGCCTCCTGCTGCTCTCTGTATTGCTGCTGCTCCAGGGGATGGCGCTCTGCTCAGGAGGCCTCCCGTTGGTTTTCTGGATAGCTTCAGCAGGACCTTGGCCTCTGTCTGTATTCTGCGTTTGTTGATAGCAGGCGATTCCAGGCTCAGTGCCGGGAGGGTGTGAGAAATTTCCATTCCACTGTGTCTCTGGTGGAAGAAGCCCCAAGGCCAGCACACAGGGCAGGACGCGACAGGTTTACTGTCTTGCTACCTGCACGCTGACCGCAGAGTCCTGCGTGCAAAACGAACGTTCCTCTCTCCGCAGCTGTGCGCGACCGCTTGGTCCCTCCCCCGCCGCCGCCCCACCATCTCTATGCCAAGGCCAACGGCTCCTTCGCTGTCTTCCTGCACTGGCGGAGGCCCGCGTTCACCGCAGCGCAGACCATCAACTACACCATCCGCTGCAACCCCGTGGGGCTGCAGAACGCCTCACTGGTGCTCTACCTACAGACGTATGTAGTGCTGGCCCCTGCACCACGTGGCTGGGCTGGGCTGGGCTGGGCGGGGCCGGGCTGGGCTTCCTCCCTGTGTGTTGGACCTTCAGTTAAAGTGGCTGGGAGTTTTGCCTCTAATAGTTTACTGTGTTCAGTTCTCAGAACTGAAGTTTTTTCACATTAATGTACACGTGAATTTTAAACTTCACCTCATGTAGCAAGATGAGGCAAGGAGATGTTTTCAGTAGCTAACCTTAGCTTGTTTAAAGAAAGACGCTGAAGATCGTTTATAGGAAAATAGCTAGTGGTCATTCTTGTTTTCAAGGCCAGAATTACAAAGGCACCCATTGTGGTGTGGCGACACATACCTATAATCCCATCACTTGGGAGGCTGAGGCAGGAGTATCATGGTGAGTCTTAAGCCAGCTTGGGCTACATAGTGAGCTCAAGGCCAGGCTGTACTATAGAGAGAGATCCTGTCTCAAACAAACAAAGGCATCCATCAAAGTACCTTGAAGAATGATTATATACTCCAGCGTTTCTCTCATGTCAGTTTCCGGTTTCCTCTCAGAGTCTTGTTTCTAGAAGGTGATGCACCTGTAATTCTGTAATAGATTAGGCTCCCCTTGTCATCAGAAAGTCCTGTTTAAATATCAGACAGCTCATCCTGACTGCTGATGGGAAATGCAGAGGATCCTTTAACGGCTGCATCACTCTTGTAGATCAGAAACGCACATGCTGGTTCAAGGTCTGGAGCCAAACACCAAGTACGAGTTTGCCGTCCGGCTGCACGTGGACCAGCTCTCCAGCCCCTGGAGCCCCGTCGTTTACCAGGCCACACTGCCAGAGGGTAAGAGGCATGGCTTCCCCACGGTCCTCTTCGTGGCACTTGAGGAAAGGCCTCTGATGCCTGGTGTTGAGGGTACCGCTTCGTTCCAGTTGATGTTTGTGAATTTATTTCATTTCCTTTGAAATGTCTTTCCTTGACTTTTTTCTTCTTAAAAAGATGACAAAAGCAGGGAGCTCAGGCTGGTGCCTTTTTGTAGGAAGCCTTGTCATTGTTCTTTGGCCAGCTGTGCCACTCCAGGCCACACCCACAAAACTGAAAACAGAAGCAACTGAGTTGTGATCTTGGGTGGGTGCCCCAGGAACCCACGGGGACCTGTGTTGTGCAGGTGGTAGGGGAGCTGGGCACAGTGCTGCCCCTTTCTGGGCTCTGGCCCAGATCTCACACTCGGGCATTGAGATGTTGTATCTGAATGATGTTAGGATCAGGGCCACCATGTTGAAGCACGGGTTTCTCACCGTGGCTTTGTCAGTGCCCCACAGGATGCTGCCAGCCCCCATCCATAGGTGCACCCAGAGTGACACACTAGTCCACTGAATTCCCATTCTCTTGCTCTTCACCGATATGCATGATTAGTCTCCAGTTTGCTCTGTAAACTCCCTGATTCTCCACTGGAGGGAAGAACTAGATGTCCCAGTCTTAGAAGCACCTTCCTTGAGGCCTCCCAGAAGAGGTCTAACCATCCTTGTGTTTAGTAAGAACTGCAGTCTAGATTCAGGACTAGTGGCATAGAACCTATATCTGATGGACAGATACTGCAGAGGGAGCTGTAATCCTTTCTGGTTAGCAGCTTACCAAACACAGTTCAAGAATGCTACAAATACCACCACTTTGATTTAGCGCTTCTCCATCTGGGAAACTACTTCCCCGCTTCCTGCCCAATCCTGCCCTTCTCTGTATTTATTTTTGAGATGGGGTCTTGTTTTGTGGCCCAGGCCAACCTTGACTCCTACATTCAAGGGATTCTCCTGCTGCTGTTAGCCTTTCAAATAGTGAAACTGGGCATGCAACCTGCATCTGACCTTTGTCATTGTTGTTATTGTTTTAATCTTCTAAACCTGAAGTGAAATAAGATTTTAGAAAAGAAGAAATGAAGCAGGGTGTGGTGGCTCACGCTTGTAATCCCAGCACTCAGGAGGCTGAGGTGGGAGGATCGTTTCAAGTTCGAAACCAGTCTGGGCTAAAAAGTGAGCCAAGGCCAGCCTGAACTGCATAGTGAGACCCCGTCTCAAAAAAGACAGAAAAAAAAAAAAAAAAAAAAAAAAACCGAAGAAATGATACATTAGTAATATCACTGATGATCTTGAAGATCTAGCTTTCTTTGTAGTGGCTTCTACTTTTTCACACTTTCTGTGTTTGCCAGTTTCATGTTTTCGCACCGTTCATCCCGATGATACAGTATTTTTCATATGTGTTAAGCGCCAGCAGGCCCCCCCGTTGGAGTGAAAGTGACGCTGATAGAGGACGACACTGCCCTGGTTTCTTGGAAGCCCCCTGACGGCCCTGAGACAGTCGTCACACGCTACACAATCCTGTACGCATCCAGAAAGGCCTGGATCGCGGGAGAGTGGCAGGTCCTTCACCGAGGAGGTAAAGATGTCACCAGGGAGTGAGGAAGTTACTAAAAGCAGAATATAGTGGTACAGGGGAGAAGAGGGACAGAGGGACCTAGATTTGTTTTGAATTTATATTTTTCTATATGAAGTACTGAATGGTTAAAGATTTTGGCTATATTCAAAGAGTACAGGGAAGCCACTGCCTCGTTTAAAAATGAGTGGTGTTTTGAGAAATCATTCTTCCGGCTGTGAGTGGAAGAAGTGGGTTAGAGGCACGCAGAGGGACCTGTCTCGGAGGGTTGCCATGGTGAGGAGAGTCTGGGCCGCAGCATGGGGAGGAAGAGGACAGCGACGGGGGAAGAGATGAGAGAGGAGCTGGTGGCAGGACTGGACAGCTTGGCTGGAAGGGAGGGAGAAGGATCACAGCCACGCTTGGCTGGGGGTGTGGTGTGTCTACCAGAGCAGGTGTTGCCGGGGAAAGACCTGTTGCTGTTGGTCAGTGAGGTCCACACACAGACAGACGAACAGACACACAGACCCACAGAGTACAGGCCCCTCACAGGGCTTGGGAACACCGAGCTGATGAATTCAGCAGCTGGGAACTGAATGCAGGCAGGACAAACACTTGCACAGAGCCACATCCCCAGCCCTCTGGGCTTGATATTTAAACATTAGTCAGTTTTTAGCTGGGAAAAACTAAATCCCCAAACTCTTTAATATTCGTACTGTATACTTTTATCTCTATATCCTGTATTTATTATTTATTTATCTTTCTGAGACAGGGTTTCGCTATGCAGTTCAGGCTGACCTTGACCTCACTCTGTAGCCCAGTTCAAGGCCGGCCTTGAACTCACAGTGAGCCTCCTGCCTCAGCCTCCCGAGTGCTGGGTTTGTAGGCATATGCCACCATGCTAGCCATATCCTTCAAGAAATCTTAAATGTTTCATTTGGACAGTTCCATATGGTAAATGTAGATGCTTTGACACATACATAGTACAACCTCATATCTTGGTATATGCTTAATTCACATGAGTATGCGGAGGAAAGAACAGTTTGCCAAACAAATAAAAGCTTAAGGACTTCAGAAAGGAAACACGCCAGCCTGGACTAGCAAGCAAACTCAATGCCAACCAGAACCACATATTCAGATCCTATCTCACAAAGAAAGAAAAGGAAAAAGTGAAAAAACGCTGTTCACACAATTGTACAATGAGAAATTGGTAACATCGGCTGGAGTTTTGGTGGTTGTATATTCTTGTTATTATCAGAAGTAATGATTTTCCAATCACTTTAGAGACTCAGAAATAATACCTGTCAGCTGGTATTGCGGTCCGCCCTCGCTGCCTGCCAGACCATGCTAGGCCTAAAAAGTCACAGTTTGATTTTCCTGCCCCTCCTCGAACCCGCAGCTTTGTCTGGTTTCGGCAGGGTGGTTCTCCTGTGCTCTGTCTGTGGACTTCGTGTCATAGTTTTGACAGGATCAGAGAGGTCTAGAGCCACAGAGGAGGGTTCAGCGTCAGGAAGGGTGCAGAACTTCTTGCTGCTCTGCTTGAGCCGCATCTGCTGTCTTGTGTCTTGTGACACAGACCAGTCAGGCTGCCGTCCATTGGTGCCCTGTCCAGAGCCTGGGCTGATGTGCAGGCATGTGGGGGAGGGGCTGAGTGGTTTTAATTCAGTTTAAATGACTTCCAGGTGGGTTGTTGACACAGTGCTTGACCAGTGACAAACTTGGTTTACCGAGGTGTCACATGTACTAATACAGAATTTTGATCACATGAGCATACATCTCTGAGCCTCTCCCTCATTTGTACCTACCTAAAAAGAAACAAGATTTTTTTTTTGCCTCTTTTCAAAGGTAAATTTGGGAAAGAGCTCAGAGAACAGCATTTCACCTCACTGGCACCTCAGCAGGGGGACAGCCAATTGGGTGTCGAGGATATCCTTAGCCAAGAGAGCCATGCTGGTGCAGTGGTTCGCAGAGGATGCAGTCTAGCGTTGCTGGGCGCCTTTACCAGTGAAAGGCTTTGTTGTTCGTAAATTGCAAAAAGCTTTTTTCATAGCAAATGCTGATGGTACCACAAGAATAAGTGCACAATGCAACTAAAAGCCAACTGAGCACGTTTTTGAAAGGGAATATAAAGGAGTTGATTTACCCACATTTCACAGAAAAGCAAAGAATGCAACATGATGTTTCAAGAAAAAATAAAATGTAAAATTGTCTTTTATATCTCAACATAACTTTTAGAGAGGTGATAGTATAGAAAAAGATAGTATAGAAAAAGACAGTACTCAATCCTGTAATTTAATAGTCTTAAATATATCAAGTTTATACAAATATGTGCATATTTAATTCACATACTTAGCACCAAATGGAGCAAAGTATTTTTCATGAATCAAAACATTCTAAAAATATTTCTGGCAAACATAAGATACTTGTGGCTAAAGTGGTGTATAGTGGAATGGTTGAACAGAAATGTGAGATGATTTATACTTGTGTATACCTTAAAGTGGACCTGAAATCACAGCGTTGACCTTCCTTCTGGTGCAGTAAATCAGCACAATTCACTCAGTTTTCAAATCTAAAAGGCACCAGAAGTTACCCTGCCTCTCCGCAATTTGTCTCTGTTCTTTGAGTTTCCTGAGATGATGATGTTCCTCCTTCAACACTTTCTTGTGATTATAAATACACTTGAGAATCACCAGAGGCCATTCCTATTAGAGATCCCACTGGAAATTTAAAGTGCTGCGATCAGGGAATCTGTTTACCTCCTGTTTGCAAATGAATTGGATGGCCAGTCACAGAGCATATTCATGTATTCTGTGTGCGCACATGTGTGCACACATGTGTGGTGCTGGGGGCGGCACCCGGGCTCCTGTGTGCGAGGCCGGTGCTGTGCTGCTTGCCCTCTGCTGCCTGACAGGCTACTGCGGAGTGAGTGCTGCATGCCAGGGCTCCTCTCAGAGCTCTTCCCCCAGGAGTGAGCCAGCATGCATTCCGGGATCAGGTAGACAACAGGTACAGCACAAAGCTTACCGTCCGAGTGCTTGAAGTAGTGCTAAGGTAGGACTATAAACTGCTAGATCCCGACCTCAGTGTTAAAAAGAAAACCATGGCAGTGGGCTGGAGACATAGTTTGGTGGTGTAAGCACCTGCCTGGCAAGTGCAAGGCTGAGTTCAATTCCCAGTACCAAAAAAATAAAAGCAAACAAAAAAACGCAATAGGAAGAATATAGAAGCAGGTGGAGACAGTAAGGTCGGCACTCTTGGAAGAAGTGGTAGCCGAGTGTAGCAGCGTGGGGCAGATGCAAAGGTCCTGAGGCAGAAGTGTTGGAGGAAAATCAAGACTCAGGGAAGTGAAGGTGAGCGAATGAGAAATGAAAGAGCTACCTGAGGACAGACCTTGGTACTTTGTAAGCTATGGATTTGATTCTATGAGTCTTTTGATCAGGGTTACATTTTAAAAGAATTGCTCTGGTAACCACATGAAGAAATGAGACTAAGGAAGAGTGGAAGCTAGACAGCCGTTTAGTAGGCGGGGTTTGGGTGGGGATGGTAGTGTGAAGGTCATAAGAAGCCACCGGAGCACTGGGCATGGTGGCGCCTACCAGCACTCGGGAGGCTGAGATTCGGGGATCCCACAGACTTGAGACCATCCTGGACTACATAGTGCGCTGAGGGCCAGCTGGAACTGCATGGTGAGACCCTGTCTCAACACCACCCACCCCCGTAAAGAAGATACCCGGATAGAATGTGAAGAAAGAGCACACAGATTTGGGGCGGGTCAGTGGTGGCGGCTTGAGAGGGTGTGAGAACCAGCCAGTGGGTGATCGAGTTGTTTCTAAGCATGTTAAATCTGAGGTGTGTCTCAGATGCCCATGTAGAGGGGTAACAAGGGAGTGTAGAACTCAGTTATCAGCGAGGAGGTAAAGACAGCTGCCCATCCAAGGGGCACGTTATTCTCTCAACCTAGGAAGAATTACATGGCCTCGAGTCAAATGAGGACTGGGCAGTATGTTTATTGTAGAGCAAAAGCAGAAAGCAGCACTCAGTGCGAAGTGAAGATGGAAAGCCCCAGGTGTGGAGACGGGCGGCCCAGCAGGCTGCCCTGGGGACTCTGCCCAGAGGCTTCTGTGCGCACAGACAGCTGCATCTCAGCCAAGCCAGGGTCAGCCTCGGGTGCCAGCAGGAAAGTCTGACTCACAAGTGGGCCTGTAGCACACTTCTGCAAGCACCATTAATTGTAGCTTTCCTAAAATAGCAGCGCAAAGACGCTCCTCAGAGGGGTATGAGGAGAGGCCTGGCGGGACCGCATGTCTATCACCTTGTTTTAGTCACATTCCGCCCATCACTGTGGCTGGGACCTTCCCTGGCTGCTGTGCCCTGGGGCCAGTGTCACTGAGAAGTCCTCAAAGCTTCCTGTAGGTTCTGCTGGTCCTGACCGGCTCCTCACACTCGCACACCTGGTGTCACACGGAGACTGACTGTTCAGAGTATACTGGTGCGAGCCTCTTGTTAGGAAAACAGTCCCTGAGCCTTGGCACACAGAGCCAAAGGCCCAGCACGCCTGTGCAGAGGACTGGCAGTCAGTCTCCCCAGGTCTTTTGTTCCCTTCCTGCCTCATAAAGCAGAGGGTGGGAGAAAAAAAGGTGTAAGGTTGCAGCTGTGCACCCCACCAGCCAGGCTTCACCCAGGGCAGGGACTGGGCATGCAGCCCCCCATCCCTGTGCTCATCCTTTGAAAAGAATAGGTAGGTCTCTGGTCACAGGTAACTCGTATTAAAATGTATGTTCAGCAGGCATTTACTAAGAATTATCCTGTGCAGTGCATTCAGTAGCCACCTTCAGGTGTTCAAATACGACAAAAATGTGTCCACCAGAGGGGAAGAGGGAGGGTCATGTGAGAGAAAGCTTTCATCGAGTATGAACACACTGTCAGGCGCTGGCTGGTGGTAGTTTAATAATCCTTTCAATAGTAAGAGCTTGAGCTGCCGCCCCATGAAGCAAACACACAGTGTCCTACCCCACGTTGCACGTGCTCAGCTGGAAGCCCACCAAGGCTGGATGTTGTTGGGACATCCAGAGACTGCTGCCATCTTGCCTGAGAAAGCTTAAGCCTAGCTAAAGACTCTGGTGTGTGTCAGTTAGTAGATGCCTGGCCTCATGACTAAGACCGAGAGGTTGTACTTAGGGTACCTGGAGGCCTTAGGAAGTGCCTTGCGTGCTCAGGTGAAGCAGGACTTTAGTTTCCTTTTGTCTGCATGGAGGCATGTGTGGGTGAAAGGGGAGTGTGTACATATGGATGGTGGACTCACTTGCAAAATTTAAGGAAGAGATTCAGTTTCTGGTAGTATCTGAGATTTGCCAAGCATTTTAAAAATCACATACTCTGTGATAAAATGGAAACCTTAATTTTATCTCTGTGAAGAAATCGGAGCAAGTTGTAATGTGTCACGATGCATCTGCCCAGAGCCTAGAAACAGTGGGGGGCGGGGGGGCTTCCTGGTTCTAAATGGGGCTGTTTGTTTACCTCACATTTGTTGCTCAAGCAGCTCGAGGTCTTTCGCCAAGCTGAAAACCGAGAACATGAAAACAAATTGTGTCTGGCTACTGACACTGCACTGCATGTTCGGCTGCCACACGCCATGTGACCCACAGAGGTGGCATTGTGTCCTGACCTCCACTCCAGCATCACCCATAAGACTCCGTTGGGGGAACAGCTATGATATAAGCATCCAGCACCACATGGGCCACATGGGCAGTGTTGGGTCAGCTCCGCGGCCATGCTGCTGAGTGTCAGGGTAATTTCTAAGGTTGCAGCCACAGCAGCAGGGCAGAGAGCTGCAGGCTCTATGCAGGGGTGCTCTGCGGGCTCCCCTCAGTGCTGTGTGTCCTGCACAAACTCAAAGCGGGTGTCAGGTAGGCAGTGAGTGGGCCTTCCGATGGCCAAGCTAAGGCCTACTCTCCAGCGCACTGAGCCGCAGTGGGATTGTGTGACTGTGTTTCCTTTCTTGTTCACTGTGAGGAACTCTTGAGATAATGGCTGAGCCCCTGAAGTCAGTCACTCTTCCAGAAACAGTTGTGTTGTTTCCAATTTCAGAAGGAGGAACAAAGTCACCTACCATAGCTATGACCATAAGTGGTTTAAATAAATACTGGTTCTAGTAAGGCAAAAGGAAAGACTCACTGGGTTTTAAAAGTTTGAAATTCCTGCTGGGTGTGGTGGTGCACACCTGTAATCCCAGCACTCAGGAGGCTGAGGCAGGAGGATCATAATGATTTCAAGACCAGCCTGGGCTACAAAGCAAGCTCAAGGCCAGCCTGAACTGCATAGTGAGACTCTGTGTCCAAACACAGACACACACACACACAGAGTCTGAAACCCAGTTGTTGGTCTGGATCTATTCTATGTACCATTCTCTCTATGTGTGCATGAGCTTGAAACGTCCTGTAATTAAACATGCTTTATGTGTTTGTTTGTAAAATATACATACACGATATATATCTATATATCTAACTACAATCAAAAATTCATGCTGCTTTTTAAAGATTCCCAACAGTAACTGTGGAGAAAGGTTCTACGGGAGTGCACACAGGGCACTGTTAAGTGAAACTCAGGCAGAAAAATGTATATGCACCAATATATCAGAATGGCACCAGTGGGAAACTATGACTTTATCTTTACTTTCCAAATGTTCTACAGTGAAAGTCTTACCTTCATAATCAGAAAAGTGGCTGAAGATTTAGCTCAGTGGCACTAGCATCTGTCTGGCAAGCATGAGGTCATAAGTTTGATCCCTGGTACCAAAAAAAAAAAGCATCATAATCTGAAAAGCATTTTTAGGCTGAAGGGCCATGTTTGTGTGACAGTGGATGTTTGCTGAAGTTGTAATAATGTATTTATAGGAGCAATCACCATGGCTTTGCTGGAAAACCTGGTGGCGGGAGATGTGTACATTGTCAAGATCTCTGCATCCAATGAGGTGGGCGAAGGACCCTTTTCCAACTCCGTGGAGTTGGCAGTGCTTCCAAAGGACCCTTCTGGATCAAATCAAAGGCCCAAGCGTTTGGATTCTGCGGATGCCAAAGGTATGTAAACCACCAGTCATTGACTTTTCATAAGAGATAAAGGGTCATTTGATTTCAGCTTTTGCAAGTTGTCAGGGCCTGAAGCGTGCATGTGTGTACGTGTGTGTGTCACACTGGTGCTGTGAGTTTCTGATGGTCTAGAGCTATAGCTCTTCACTAACCCAAATCCACCTCAGAATTAACAGCAGTTTTCAGACCATTGTGCTCCATGGTTTGCTTTCCCAGCCAAGCAGCCTGCAGGACAGAAGGCCTGCACAAACATGTACGCACACACATGGGCACATGCACAGATGGAGGGTGTAGTGCTTCAGCTGAGAAGAACCTGGCTCCCATTATGAGTTTTCCCCCCAGGAAAGCAGCCTTTCTGAAAGACAGTGATTTCTGTCCAGAAAAACTAGTAGGAAACATATCTTTGAAGGCCCACTTCCCTTCAGCTGAGCAGCTGTCATCTGCTTTGGAGGACCAGGTCCTGAGCATGGTTGAGGTGTACCTGTGTGTGTGTACATGTTGTGGACATGTGTGTCTGCACTTAAGGAGAGATATCTGCAGTCAGATTTAAGGCCAGGAAAAAGGCGACCATAATAGCTGCGACACCATAAAGACAGAGCAGCACATCATGTTGCCTCTCCAGATAGCTGCCAGAAGGGGTCAGGGAGCAGCATTGTGGCCGGTAGTGATGTGGGGCGCAGTCTGGCTCAGAGTCCGCATTCCATAGCGCTGTACACTCCTGACTACGACACAGGTTAGCCTGGAAGCGCTGTCCTAATGGATGTCTGCGTGCAGGTCTGCTTCCAAGGCGCATGACAGGAAAGATGCTCTGCCATACATCAGAGAGCAGCTGTGGCCGGGTGGTACATAGGGTGCAGGACTGCAAACCCAGCTCTGCAGCAGGCTGAGGAAGGGTCCCAAGTTAGAAGTCAGCTTGAGTAGCTTAGTGAGACCTTGTCTCAAAATTTTAAATATTTAAGAAATTAAAGGGCTACAGATATAGTTCAGTGGTAGAATGTTTGCCTGGTATGCAGCCCAGGGTTCAAACCACACACAAAAAAGAACATCTGTATGTGCCATTTGCAGTGCAAATTACGAGTTTATGTTCATGTGTGGGATAATATCTAAAACTGCAGTACTGGAAGGTAAAGGATCTCTAAAATCACTGATCAAAGATTAATTATTGACTACCATATATAGAATAAATGTAAATAACATTAAAAGGAAAACAAATTCCTGAGCGTTCTGGCCAGTAGACTCATCCCCTGACTGATGCAAACATGTGTGTCGCCTGCAGTCTACTCGGGATATTACCACCTGGACCGGAAATCGATGACGGGGATTGCAGTGGGTGTGGGCATTGCCTTGACCTGCATCCTGGTCTGCGTTCTCATCCTGATCTGCCGGAGCAAGGCCAGGTGCGTGCCCTGCCGAGTCACAGCAGCAGGAGGCCAAGTGTATTTCTGAGTAATGGGTACTTTCCACTCTAAGTGTGCTGTTGCTGTACTCTACAGCTGTGCAAGTGTGCTTATTTTGTAGGGAGCTTTTTTTACTGCCATTTGAAAAACTTACAGTGCCAATTAAGTAATCTAGAATGAGAACCTAGTTTTCTCATTTCCTTAGGACTCTGAGAAGTGCAAAGTATCCTTGAAGTCGATTTTTGTTGTTGCTCCTGAAGCAATTTCTATGTAAGCATCAGTGTGAGGTAGCCAGGGGCGATGGGGCAGACCCCACAACTGACAGGAAGACCAGGGGTTGTTTAGCTGCAAGCCCTGCCTGCCAGCCTCACCTGTGGCTGACTTTGGTTAAATTCTCAACAGTAACCTGTGTTTGGCAAGCTTGACTTTTTATATTTTGGCTTTTGCCTTCATTAATTTTGTTTGTTTTGTTTTGTTACTGGGAATTGAACTCAGGACCTTGCGCTTGCCAGGCAGGCCCTTATGCTGCTGAGCTATGTCCCTGCAAGGTTCTTTTGTAAGTTAAAAAAAAAATAAAAATTTTCTTCAGTAAGCCCTATCACTGGTCTCCCTCAGTTGGCAAAGACTTTTCGGTATTCTGGTACCGGTGCATAGAGACATTTTTGGAAAACCTATTGAAGACCTAGTTCTGCCAGGTGTGTGGCACACAGCCTATACCAGCCTGACTCAGGAAGCTGAGGCGAAAGGGCTTCCTTGAGTTCAAGGCTGTATCACAACTAAGTGAATAAAATAATTAGTTCTAATATCTTTGTGCATTTTGAGTTGTTTTGGTTGTGTAGCTTGTTTCTCACTTTGAGAGCTTTTTCACATAGAATATTTATGTAATTGTTTCAACGATGCCTGAATTGCAGTACTCTTGTAAGTTTGGCATCCTTAATTGGCATGATGAATTGCTGGGTTAGTATCACAACCTGCAGAATTAAAGGGAAACAATACAAAGTTTAGCAAAGGAAGTGCAAATATAAATTATCTCCAGTAGTGAATCATAGCACTTGTACATATTAAGGTTCTTATTGCCCGTATTGTCTGTGAAATGAGAAGACTGTCTTTTCCACCAATCTTTCAGGAAATCATCTGCCTCTAAGACAGCCCAGAATGGAACTCAGCCGCTGCCTCTCCCTGGCGCCCCCGGGTCTCCTGGAGATGAGCGAGGGAAGAAGCTCAGCAGAGTCATTGGGAGTCAGGAGTCCTCGGTGCCCGTGACCATGCCATGCAGCTTCATCGATGCCAAGGTGCGGGGCACGAGCCTGGCCTGCTGCCCAGTGCTGCCCTCCCTCTCTATGGGCGACTAATTTGCCAAAAAGTTACATGCTGGGTGTGGGCATACACACTCCCCTTAGCAAAACAGCCTTAAAAATTATACCCAGATCCTTCCTTCTTTAAGATAGGACTAGACAAAAGACAACAGAATAAAGAATGAAAGAGGTACAGAAAAGGCACAAGTGCAGTTAGCTGGGATAACATGTCTCTCAGACCTCATGGCATGCACGTGTACTGTAATTTGGCTGCCCTGTGTCCACCAGGGACGAGCAGAACGCCCCAATGAGGGTGCTTCACAGTGTGAGCCCTCTTGACTGGATGCTTGCAGAGCCTTTTGTGGAAGCCTGAGGATATCAGAACAGGAAGGCAGTATTAAGGTGTTGCTCTGGGTCCTGGCCAGTGTGGGAACAGTCCCCCAGGGGCAGCAGGAGGGCACTGCCCTAACATCTTTCCTGTGAGCCCCGTCGCGACCGCCTGCCCACGTCAACTGTGGAGCAGTGCACCACCTGCCTGGGACCTGCCCTGAGCTGAGAATGGTTGCTTACATTTGGGGGAGAGGGTGCAGCACAGACCACCTGTGGCCTGCAGAGCCTAAAATACTTCTAGTCTGGCCCTTTCCAGGAAGTTTGCCAAACCCTGCTCTAAATTTTTCTCCAACCCTTTCCCAAAATTCAAAATAACAAAAATATTTTAAACTCTGAAAAAAAAAAAAAAATTTTAAACTCTGTCCATTTGTTATATTGAATTTTACGTTTATGTATTTATTTATTTATTGTACCTGCAATTGAACTCATGACCTCACTCTTGCCAAGGAGGTGCTTGTGCCACTGAGCTAAATCTCTGGCCCCTTACAGTCATATTTAACAGATGCCTTTGACTTGTATCTAGCACAGTGCTATCTATATACATCAGGAAAATAATACTGAATTATGCTGCCAATATTAAATTGTTTACTCCTTAATTTAGCTTATACATTCTAACATGAATTAAGCCTTTCTGCTTATTTCAAATTAAAACATTAAAATCGAAAACTTGTAAATGAATATAAATCCCACGAGGTTCCATAGTTGTGTAGGTGCTAGTTTGGAAGCAGATGTGGGAGAGGATAGGAGAGCACCACAGGGAAAGCCCGGGAGGGAGCTGGTGCAGGGGTCGGTGGGGAAGACAAAGCCTCCTGCGCACCGGGGTGGGCTAAGCACCGGCTCCATGCTTTCTATTCCCTTGTGCCTGTGCCCCTCTGCTACATTTTTCTCTCCCCAACTGCTTTTTAAAATTCTAAATCATCCAAAAAGGTTGAGAGAATTGTGCAAAAAATAAATACTCAAAGCTGGTTAATATCTTCTCATAACTTCCTATGTTATTTTATATAATAATAAACATTAAGAATAAACTTGCCCAGTCTTTGTACTCACTACTAACAAATATCCTGAAACGCTCTATGCTGCTTGTGTAAGAGCAGCAATAGCCACGGGCATGGCAGCACACACTTGTAATTCCAGTTACTGGAGAAGCTGGAAGTTTGAAGCCTGGCTGGGAGATTTAGCAAGATTGTGTCTTAAAATAAAACTCAAAAGAGGGCCAAGCACTTCGAAGGCTGAGGCAGGAGGAGTGCCTTGAGTTCAAGGCCAGCCTGAACTCCATAGTAAGTTCAACACCAGTCTGAATTACAGAGTGAGACCCTGTCTCAAAAAAAAAAAAAAAAAAAAGAAAGAAAGCCAGGTTTGGTGGTGCACATCAGCACTCAAAAGTCTGAGACAAGAGTACCCTCCTCAGTTAGAGGCCAGCCTGGATGACAAAAGTGAGTTCAAGGCCAGCCTGCACTACATAGCTGGAACTGTCTCAAATAAAAACAAAGAAAACAAGTTTTTAAAGAATTGAAAAAAAAGGGTGCATAGCTCAGGGGTAATGCTTGGCCTGCAGGTGTAAGGCCCTGGGTTCAATCCCAAGTGAAACATACATTATAAAGAGACAAAACAGTGATGTCTATGATCATTTTTTTCTTTTCATATTTAAAATTTGGTTTACTACGTGTGACAAACTAGAATCTCTTAACACCATAATTTGGTTTTTTTTGTTTTGTTTTTTTTTCGTCTTTTTCGTTTTTATCGGTACTGGGGAACACCATAATATTTAATTTTCTCTTATTTCCCCAGGGAGGAAGTGACCTGATAATTAATAGCTATGGTCCTATAATTAAAAACAACTCTAAGAAAAAATGGTTATTTTTCCAAGACTCGAAAAGGATGAGAGCTGAGCAGGTAACTCCCAGGGGCGGAGGCCTGGGCAGGGAAGGTGATGACCGAGGGCGGCTGTGAGCTGACCTGCAAGCCTGGGGCTGGGGGCTGGCGGAAGTGGCCAAGGTGTCCCCACGCCTCCAGGCTTGGTGGGGCGCTTGGTGGGGCGGGCGGGGGCCTCGGGCTGCAGCGGGCGCCCCCGGCGCCTCCCTCTCACAGCTGCCCTGTTTGTCCTCTTCCAGCCTCAGAGTCAGAAGTTTCCTCCGGCCGCTGCGCGCTTTCGCCAGCCAGACCCCGCGGTGCTGATCGGCTCCCCGGCCCGGGCACCCGCCTTGCCCGGGCTCTCGGGAGCGGCGACGGACACTGAGCACTCGGCGCACAGCGAGGGCAGCCAGGACACCGGGGACTCGGGGCGGTTCTCCCACGAGTCCAGCGCCGAGCTGCGCCTGTCGGCGGCCCTGAGCGGCTCACCCTGGAGCTCGGGCGCCCTGACCGGTGGCGCCGCAGTGGCGAACCAAGCTCCGCCGGCTCAGGGAGCGGGTCCCGCGGGGCCGCTGGCGGCGCCTTGAGCGCGAGGCCCTGTGCAGGCCTCCGCCGGGGTCTGTTCGAAGGACAATGAGCAGCGGCTGCGGTCTTGTCGGGTGCCTAAGCCTTTTTTTGAATGTTTTCTTTTTTTTTGTTTTTTTTAAACTCACTGTCGTGAATGTTTCCTTGTCAGCAATGTGAAAGGACAGTCAAGGTGTCTGACTGTTGCAGAATACATCACTGGAGCAGAGGGAGCTTGCAGAGCCCTTTGCTGAGTATCTACCTCAGTTGCCAGGCGGCAAACTAGATAGCCCTACCTCCCATAGCGTAGTGTCTCAGCGGCTCCCGAAGGCTTCCCTGCCGCTGCTGTGTGTGTGATGCGTGTGATCAAAGGAGCCCCACAGGGGGATGAGCAAGAGTGTTTACCTGAAGCTCTGGTTTTTAAAGAAACTGATGGCCACCAGCACATCAGGTAGTTTAACACCTCTGACTGTGAGGACTGTTAAGGAAAGCAAAGTGTGGGACAGTTGATTTTAATGAAACATATGCTGTCTCAGTAGCATGAACACAGTAATCCGGCTTGAAAGGCTGCTCCTGGGGTCGGGGGCCAGCCAGACCCTGCCTGAGTGCTGCCTCGACCTGTCCTCTGCTCTTCCAAGGTTAGTGCAAACCCCGTGCAGAAAATGGGTTCCCAAAGAGAATGATCAGGATTTTTGGTTTTTTATCCCAATTTGGCTTAAAGAAGTAAAGAAATTTCATAAAATATTAAGAATAGAGATAAATGCAAGAGTAGATTGGAAAAGGGACTTGAAGCTATCGTGGTTAACAGTGCCTTCCAGTAGATATTAGGAACTTCTCTGCCTTAGACCTAGTATTCGTGAAGTTGTTTGGGACAGGATTGCTAGCTGGGCAAGGTGATGCATGCCTGTAATCCCAGCACTCAGGAGGCTGAGACAGGAGGATTGCCTCAAGTTTGAGGCCAGCCTGAGCTACGTAACCAAGACCCTGTCTCAGAAAAAAAATTGCCTTAAGAGTGTCTCAGCCATTATCAATAACTGTTGTTATGTACAATATTTTACCAACGCTTTTCTTTTTTACATGCAGGTTTTGTTTATAGATATTCAGAACTCTGCCACCCAGTGTTTCTGTTTTCTTGAATTCTTAAGAGACTTTGGTACTGTGTATGTTAATCAATACTGTGAATAAGGAGTGCCAGCTCCGGCAATGAGTTAATCCTCTTGCTGGTTTGAAATCAGCAAATTGTTTACTCAGCCACCACGAGGCATAGGCCTTTCCTACTCTAGACAGCCACCGTGCTGAGGGGAGGGGACAGGAACGGAACACATGACGCAGACTCACAGCCTGTTACAAGAATGCTTTCAAATTTCCTGAACATGCCTTTGAGCCTCATTTTAAAGGGAATCAGAAAGGGTTTCTCTTTAAAACCTTCTGTTAATGGATGGAGCAGGGTCATGTTAAGTGGTATTCTGAAATCAAAGAATTTGTGGATGACAGTCCCATTGTCATTGCCTACCCTGATGACTGATGGTACAGCATGTTTAAAACGTTTTAAAGCTGTATTTTGTGCCAAACCAGATGTGCTGAGCCGTGTGCCAGTGTGAGGCCTGCAGCCCCAGTGGGCAGCTGCATCCACGCCCAGTCGGTCGCCGCAGGACGGCTTCATGGTGGGGGAAAAACAGAGCTTCGGGTGAACAATGGACACATGCATGTGCCTGACGTGGTGGCTCCTTGTTTTATACTACCTCCTTTAACTCATGCTAGTGTTATTTTTCCTGTACTCAGGGAACATTTTGTTACTTTTGAGCTGCCTTGTGGACACACGGGCAGATTGACAGGGTATGGCATTTTGGGGTTTGTGAGTAGAAGTATGTGGGGCATCTTGATCAGTACCTAGAGTTAGGCAGTACAACGAGAGCCTTTAGGTGGAAAAGGCAGACAACACCCAAAGGGTGATGGAGGATGTGTCCAGACGGGATGTGTCGCCTCTGCCTCACTGCCTAAGAGATGATGGGAGAAAGCAGTACTGTGTTTGGTACTGATGAGGAGGCCCCCAGTTAGGTAGATCTTTAGGCTATAACTGTTTGCTAACTACTTACCAGTACATTTTTACCTTTTCATTTTGTTCTTATACAGAATTTTTCATAATTATCTTGTTACCAAAGAATTTTTGGTAGAAAGTGAAATTTTGATTATAATTCTCCAAGTCAAATGAACTAGAAACATCTATAGATATGAAGTATTTACAAGTAGTTACTAACCCAAAACAATAGGGTTTATATTGGTTGTTGTAGTTAAATAGGCTAGTAATGGTGACTACCTTCTTGCTACCAGAGCATTTAAAATACATTGTAATATGTTCTTTACCAGCAGATAGTTCCAAAGAATTTCAAGTATAATTTTTTTCTTCAGCAAGTAGATTTTCAACTATACAGTATTAAAGTATTTTTAAATCGTTGAAACTACTTGTTAGAGAGAAAATAATCTTTTCACCAAAAATAAGTATTTGGTCTCACTGAATAGATGTTAAATGGACAGCAGAGACTTCTCTTACTTGGACACAGCACGCTTCCTTAGGATCTGAAGCATGAACACCTGTGACTACGAGGTGAAGTTGCTCACTCCTCTCCCCCAGTGACTTCACAGGGGCCCCAGCTCCGAGGGGTGCATGTGCAAATGGTAGCTATATTCCTTTCCAAAGACTTATTTGCTGTAAGTACTGATACATGCATGTCATTTTTATGCCAAATGTTAAAAGATATTGCTCATCAGTATTTTCATACCAAAGACCATTAAAATATATAGTTTAGCCTATAATAAGTAAAGATGAGCAGATTTGAAATAGATTTATTTAGAGTGGATAGAGAATCTAGCTTTAATAGTAAAAGATATCAAAGGGCTAAGTTTACATAAATAAAAGCAATAGTTATATTGGTATTTATCAGTGTTTTATTCAAGTACTTTATATCAGCAAATTTTAAAAAACCAAAGATATTTAAAGTTACCTCCACATATAGACAAATTTAGTTGTACATTAAATTGTTGTTTCTTGTTTCTGTGTTAACCAAACATGTCTCTGCAGAGCCTGGCCTGTGGACAGACAGCATACACAGGACTGCTCATTAAACCTGCTGAGTTAGCCCAGGATACTTTACTAAGCACCCTCAGTGTGAGATGTCAACAGAAATAGCAGCAGGCTTTTCCAGTTCAGAATGTTAGAGTAACCTGAGTTACCTGCAGTCTTCCTCCTGGGTAATTCACAGGCCTCCTGCTGTCACGGGAGCAGACAGACAGACAAATTACACCACTGTTTAAGTGCGCTGTGCTTCAGTAGCTGTGCTTCCCAATATGCTGAAATGACAGTTATCAAATTCAAATGTTTTCGCTCTACTAAAGGAGCCTATTTTCAAAAATACTGGGTGAAAGGGAAAAATGTTTCATGAAATCTGAAGTTTTTGATAATGATTAATCAAAAAGTAAAGACGCAGACTTACCTACTAAGTGACCTTTAAAAGTAGCTTTGCCACCCCACGGAAGTTGGATCCTCAATGAAATGCTAGCACTTCCTTGGCTTTGCAAACACAGCAGTGCCTGCATGGGTACAGTGGCAGTGACTGCCATGCGTGCGGGAACAGTGCAGTGCTTTGCTGGGGATTCTGCTAAAAACTTGCTCTCTGCTAGCTGACAGCTTAGGATTGGTGTTCAGATCCACATGGAGATACCTTTGAAAACAACAGAGTGTATGTCATAAAAAGACAGGATTAAAAGTACCATTTTTAAATGTAAGAATGCCTGGTGAGGTTCCACTTCAGCAGTGGCTCTAGTGATTTATGTTTATATTTAGTGATTTCTATTTCATTGAATGTAAATTTGAATACTGAATGTGAAAAAGAAAATCCACCTGTATGGAAAAAGTTACAGTCTTTCCAAGAAAAAAATGTGTATTTTGCAGACTTTGTTACTGAGAATTTCCTACATAGGCCTCTGTTAAAATTACCTTGATTTAATCATCAAAATACCTTGTGGTCTGGGAGCAGAGTAACAGGTTCCAGAGACGGCCATCTAAATCGGTTAACAAATGGTGATTTTTACTGAAAATTAGAACAAAACCATAGTGTTCTGTGTTAAGTTGATTTATGCTCAGGACATAGGATCGCTGGCTAATGCAATGTGTGTGCTTACAGGCTTTCAGCTTCTCATTTACTCCTTTTAAGCATTTGAAAGTGTTTAAGATGACAAGACTTTCATTTTTACCAAAAACTATTACTTTTCTGTTGCACCTGTAACAAATTTTCATGAGTTTGGTAGCTTTAAACAACACAAATTTACTCTCTTAGCACTCTCAAGTCAGCAGTCTGCCACAGGCTCCTCAGCAGAGCCTTGCTGCAGAGCTGGGGCAGAGCTCATTTCTCTTTCCCAGCTCACAAAAGCTGTGAGCCCCTCTTCCAGTCCAGCAGCCTGTGTCTCTCTGACCCCACCAGAGAAAAGTTCTTCACCAGTTAGGCCTCAGGTGACCAGTTTAGGCCCACTCTGAGATCCAGAATCTCTTCCCGTCTGCAGCTGCTTGGCTTCCTCACGTCCGCAGTTTGTTCTGGGAGTTTGGGCACTGACTTCTGTGGATGGCAGTTACTTCTTGGTCTACCATGGCTGCACTGTTTCTATGGAATTCTGACTAGTGCAAAATGTCTGTTGCACTTAAGAGTTGAAAAATCTGAGGTCATTTGCTCTTGGAAATCTTTAGAATTTCAAGGATGTAAAAATCTTTGACCTTACAACTCATCAAAAGCATACATAACCAAGCATAGTAGTGATGCCTGTAATCCCAGCTACTCAGCACACTAGGGCAGGAGGATCCCAAGTTCAAACCAAGCCTGGGCAACTAGACTGTGTCTGAAAATAAAATTTAAAAAGGTCTGGGGTGTAGCTCAGTGCTGCCTGGGCTCAAGCCCCTCTGTGAGTGTTGATGCAGGTGGAAGGTGGGGGAGTACATTAAACTTTGTCTCAGAAACACTTGGGCAGAGTTCAGCTCTAAACTTTTGCACTGTGTGCTTCATTAAATAACATCTTGGGTCTATGGTTTAGCAGAAAGTTTCCTGCACACCTGCCCCTAACTTTATTTTCATTAAAAAGACATACCTTTGCTGCTTTTGTCTTTGATGAATATATTTGTAGGGAAGGTTTGAGGGAGGCTTCCACATGCAGACTCAGAGTGGATGACAGGACCACGCTCAGTTCCATTCTTGGCTTTCTTTTAAAAACATTTGCCTTGTGCCTTTGAGTCTGGCCCTCAGTTTTGCCAACCCCCAGTCTTCTGACCCCCTTATCACGTGCATCCCTGGGATCCCTAGAGTTGCCTCTCTTATTTGTTATTCATCCTTGTTGATTTCGGTTGTCCTTTTCCTAGAAAGCTTTAGATCCTGAAGCCCCAGTTTGCAGTAATTTCTGGGATATTTTGTGTCCAGTTTCCAGTGTGAAGGGTGGGTTCTGATTTTCTCCTAAGTATCAGCATTTCTTTTACCAAAGATGGAAAGCTGCCTCGTGGGGTGTGGGAGAGATGAGCCGGATGTTTCCTAGCTTCTCCCGCCTTCCCTTTCAGCCTCTTAGAGGAGGAGGGGTGCAGGGGACTTGGCCATTGTGAGCCCCTGGGCTCCTGTGCACAGACTCTGGCGACTGCCACCCTCTGTTGCCCCACAGCAGTAAGCACACTAAGGTCACAGCACGCATGTAGAATAGCCCAGATGAGAACCCAAGTCGAGGCCACACCAGCATTGGCAGGGTTTCTGCTGCGGTGTCAGCTCTGTGAAGAGCCTGCATCTGTTTACCCAGGCTGGTAGTGCCCTCCAGGGTAGGGGCAGGTAAAAATGTGTCTTTTGTTTCTGTGAAGACCAAGGGGTGCTAGCACACACCACCCACAGAGTCACAATCCCAGCCAAGAAAAGCCTTGCACAGCTTATCTGTCCTGCACTCTGGAGGGCGAGGGTGCAGCTTCCCTGTCAGCTCCTAATTCCTCTCCTCCTCCATGACCTGGCTCCCTCAGCACCTAAAAGAGGCTTGTGCCTGCAGCACCCCTGGAGATGCAGAAGGCTTCTGGGGTCCTTGCCTAGTCAAACATTTCCCTGTTAGACTGGGTCTTCAGAATTGGATTTTATCTTTTTAAATTCTCCATAGGCATAACCAAACAGAGATTTATTAACTAAAAAAAAAAAAAAAGACGGGTATAACTAATGATACTTTATTGCTAGATCTGAGGAGCCCATAGTTTTAGTTTGGTTCAGGTTTTTTGGTTTTTTTGAGACAAGGTCTTGCTGTGTGGATTAAGCTGGCCTCTACGTTGAAGTGATCCTCCTGCCTCAGCCTCCTGCATTCTGGGATTACAGGTGATTGCCACTATGCCTGGCTACCAATAGTTTTTATATTAGCTAATTATGCACAGTTATTTTATATTACCTAATTATTTGCACTAGTTTAAGAGGAACAAATGTAATGTCAGGCCTTGGAACTCCTAAATCCTGGTGTTTCCGTTTGTGCTCTTGTGGGATGCTGATCAAACCCAGGGCTTCACACAGGTCAGCAGCTACAAGCTTCACTCCAACCCTTGAAGCGTTTGGTAGGAAAGTTCCTAATCAGTTTTTCCTTCCTTCTTCATGAAATGAGTCTAATCTGTGGTGCAGAGTGAAGCAATAATTCTTTGGAAATTTAAAAATCACATGTAAATAATTATAATCTGGAAGTCACTTCTGTGAGGTTGTGAGACCTAGTTTACAAATTTTTCCTTGGTAAGTCAGCATTTCCAATTATCTTTTCCTGGTTGAGATTTTTTTTCTAAGTGTTTATGTCTCCTTTACAAGCAGTAAGACAACACAGTGCAAGAAAGTAGTCAGAAAGAGATGTAGCCTGGGTTTTTTTTTCTCATCTGTAATGTGGGGAAATCCACAGAAGAGAAAAGGACTGATTGTACTTTTTAGAATACTAGATTTGAAATCATCTTATTCCAGTTTAGACATTCATTTTGATCTCTTGACTTAGAAAAAATTAGCGAAAAATGAGGAGAAAAGTACATGTTTAGGATTCTTCTCTAGCAAGTATACTTTTTAAGACTGTGGAGCAATACGACATTTTGCAAACTATTCAGGATGAATAAATTTTATGTAAGGCAATACAGACTGCCACCTAATTCTGGTTTGTTCACATCTACATTTAAGGATCATTGGAAAAATGATACGATTGTCATCTTTTTCTTAAGAGAAAGGAATTAATTTCCCTAACATTCTTCTGTACCATCCAAAGTACTCTTTCTGTAAGCCCTAAGATTCTGAAAGCTTTACAGAATTGCAGGTATATGTCTTATAAGTAGTTTGTGGTATGCAAAGACAGTCTTGACTTATAAATTTTAATTTTTAAAATTAATATTACAGAAACTTATTTTTCTATGGAACTATCTTTTAAAATGTCAAAAATAGGCTCTGTTGCACGATGGACAGCACATTGGACTTCTAAAAATGTCAAAAATATTTTTAAATCTTACTTTAAATTGTACTGCTTCCTGCTACCACATTCCGGATTCTGTTTTGTTTACAAATGAAAATTTTGAATAATTAGCATCAAAGCCTGTTACAGAAAATTACAGAGCTTGAACACACATGTTGCCTTAGCCTCATCAGTGGAGTAGAAGACATGTATAAAGAAAGTCTGTCTGTCTGTTGTCATTGGACAAAATTATGTGTCTATGTGTAGGATTTTTTCTGCTTTGTCAGAGATGTGAATTTAATGAAAGCATGGGAGCCAGTTAAGTTATTTTATACTGGATGTTCTGGACCCCGCACTCCATGCACCATTCTCTTGCAAGGGCGGCACTTGCAGACTTGGCAATGGGCCTGGGGCTGAGCTACACTCATTTTATGCTTGACTCAGGGGATCAGCTCTGCGGACTCCATTGCGTGAAGAAAGTGAATGTTCGCCTTGATTTTGAATGTACTTTTTAAATGTCTTCTGAAAACATGTCTTGTTTAATAATGTGGGTTTGTTTTCTTTTTCTAGCATTATAGTAAATATTTCTTAGTATTTCCCACTCCCCAGGGTAGTTTATATTCTACCCCACAGGTCATGCCAAAAATGAATAAAAGGTTAATGCCAAAATGTTTATGAAACTGCTGTCTAAATACTAATTGATTGCACAGTTTAAATAAAAGTTTTCGTTGGCTAAGAAATAGAAAAGCCCATGTTTTCTTTTCCTCTTTTCCTTTTGGAAAACAGAGAATGGCTCTCAGACTCTGGACAGGCAATGGAGGAGAGCCACCACCTCTTGAGGGCCATCTTCCTTTCCTGAGCTCGGCTACTGAAGGAGTCAGGATGTCCCTGTGCCTCAGCTGGCTGCTCCTTCCAGCTGCATGGTAGGCGCCAACAAGATAAGTTTCTAATTCAAGATTCAAAAAATTGTATTGGAAGAATGGTAAAAGAATTCTAAAAGCCTTCCAGCTAAACATAGTTACAGATAACTGATAATATATGACCCAAACAAGTTTTTTAAAAAAGTTTATTTATTAAACAAATAAGGTTTTGGAATGAAATGGGAATTGAAAATCAAAGTAGAAACTTCTGAAATGCTATTCTGACTGTGGAGAATATGAAAGAAGGAATTGAAATAATAATAAACTATGCCCCAAAAAGAAAGTAAACCAGAGATGGATAGAATTTCCAGAAATAAAAATTCTTGATTTTTTAA